TAACAACCTAATGGTATAACAATTAATTAATACCATGTGTTTATTGGAAATATATTCATTTTACCTGCTTAGGTTCTACGCAGTCTACTAATGGTTCACTTATAGCTACATTACGTATGGCACTCATATTAAATCCATACACATTTTCCCACCAGTTAATTTTGTCATCTTTATATTGTCTATCTTCAATACCAGTTATGAATAAATTTGCACGATCAGGAAACAGCATTCCATCTAATATAGAACAAAACATTAGGTAAACAATACATACATTTATAAAAAAAGTATGATGACAATGTTTCAATTACATTAAATCCATCAAAATATTACACAGGGAAATAAAAATCTATTTTTTTAGACAGTCAGATTTAATTAATAATATTTTACATAATGGGTACCATAAAATGGGTTTACTTGGGACATTTGGGTAACTTGAACACAAACGATATAGTATTATAAATGATAAGATTTGAGCACTAGAAATGTTTTTATCACGACCGTATAATTACACATTCATTTATTATCACTTTCACAACGATCGTCTTGCTATCCAGACGTGCTCACATTGTAAATACTTACTATTTAAATGTAAATACATAAGCAGATTATTATGTGTTATAAAACCATGTTCAAATTTAGTGTACACAAAGGTTTGCTATTAGTTGAATGTAAATGTGGGTTCAAACATTAGTTGCAGCAACTACTAGTGAATTATACACAATATTTCATTGTTATTAATTATATGTAATTTATGCTGTTATCATAAAATGCTGAAAAAAAAAATAGTTTTTATGGTAATTTAATCATGTACTTTTATGTACTTATAAATCATTATATACCTTAAAATTTAACTATGTGGTATTATAAAGCAATAATTTAAACTGACCAAGTTGTGTTCGCAAAAATCAAGGGTAACTTTGGCCAAGCATATTTTTTTTTTAAAAAAACAACAAATGGGTCTTATAGTCTAAGCCAAGACCAGAATTTTTGGCCCTGACTATTATTATCAGTTTCAAAACTTATAGATCAGCATTCATCTGAAGTTAAAAAGTGTCCGAAGTAAACCCATTTAGGTATATACATTAACTTATCTAATAGTAGATAACGTAAATTGTATACTTATTAATAATATATTAATTAATAAGATAACAGCAGAAAAACATTTATATAGTGCCCATAATTAACTGAAAATGTTTCATCATAAATACCTATTATATTTAATTTAAATTATTTAAGTATAATATAATTTATCTCACCTTCTTTCAACCATTTGTCTCTTGCATAAAGTACAGTATCCAACATAGACTCGTAAAATAAACAATATCCCATCCATTCTGATATAATAATATCTACCTTAGTAATACCATCAGGTAAATCTATTTCTTCAACCTAAACAAATAGGTATATTAGTATGAATAAATGTCTAAATAAATACTATTTATATATCTTACTTTTCCTTTGATTATTGTGACAATATGGTCTAAATGGTTATCCGCTACGATTTGTTTAGCATATTCTACAATGTTGGAACACTCTACACCTATTACTTTGGCTGCACCAGCTTTAGCAGCAAACATAGATAAAATTCCAGTACCGCAACCAATATCTAATACAATTTTTCCCTGCAAATAATTTTTTTTTTAAAGTAGGTATATAAATTATTTAAAAAAACAATATTTGATATAAAATAAAAATTACCTTAAGTAAATGTTTATTGTAATACATAGAATTTCTATATGTGAGAGTTCGTACTTCATCCTTAAGCATCTCTTCGTGTATGCCAAAATGAGCATATGAATCAAAATAGTAGTCCATTGAAGTCATGTCACTTACATTTACTGATCTTTTTAACCCATTTGGTACAGCTAATGCAGAAGACGTTTCAGCAACATCATCAACAACATTATTATCCATTATTACTTCCATAGGATCGATTTTAGTATCCTATAAAAAATTTGCAAAATAGGTTGTGATTTTGTGATTTAACAGTGGTGTATGGACAAGCATAATATGATATAGAAAAAACACGAAATGTGTTTATGGTTGTGATTAAAAATAGAACAGCTGCAACATTATTCCCTCTGATAAAAAATAATATATAACAAGTAAATCTACAATTTTAAGTAATTGCCTGAAAAGCTATGAGATTATTAGAATTGATTTGGCATTTAAACATATGCGTATCTACATTCACCAAATAGTGGACGTACGCAAACCTTCTCATATTTGGAGATTGGCTAAGAAAATGAATGAAAAACATTCAGGAACTCATAAAATGATGTAAAAAACATAAAACATTAAGAATGTGTGTTACTACTAATCATCCGAGCAAACATGGTGTTGCCAGTTTTATGCCACATAATAATTATTTTAGTAAAAAAGTTTTTATTGGAGAAAACAATAGCCAAAAGTACCTACATTTCCTTAAAAGTATAACTTTTAATCTAATTCACTTAATTTTATTACTGCATGCTAGGTACCTATATAAATAAAGATTTAAGTTGCTACAAAAAATTAGGATAGTATCATAAGGATAATATACTATAAATTAAATATTATAATAGATTCGTAACTATTAGCTGCTAAAAAAATTGTTGTTTTATATTTTTTCAAGTTTCATTTAACCACTTTGAGTCAACATAGCAAATCACTAATCAATTAAATTTTTATAAATTAAAATTTACAACTTTAAATGTAAGGTGTTTTTGCACTTTGCAGTAAAAAAAATTTACCAGCTACTACTACTACTCACTAATTTAACAAATCTATCATGTTAATTCATCTGATAAAAAGAAATTAAGGTAAATTGTACGCTATTGTCTAAATGTAGAGCTCTACTTTTTCGCTACATTTTTAAAAATCTTCTTATTGAAAAATAGTGTTTGTAGTTTCTACTGATTTGACATTTGGTCACTGGATGACCCAGGATAAAAACTTCACTAATACACGCACATCATTATCATAATATAAATAAATAAGTATAATAATAATTGATATTTTAATAATCACCAATTAGATTGTAGGTAGTGACAAAATTAAGATAATTTTCACTAAGCTAATCAGAAATGTTTAGCGAGCTATAGTATTTTGCCATCTAAGGCGTAATTTAGCGACGCTACGTCAATCGCTACAAATAATGAGCTACTCCTGACTATTGTCTATTCAGAACTAGAATAACCCAATGTTTTACTGAGAATATAATAGGTATTATAACTATTTATAGTTTGGAATTTACACAAAATGTATATTGATTTTGTAGCGGAACGGTCGTCTTCAACAAATTTTAAGAATTTATCTTCCCAAAAGTTGGACAATAATTATTCCTAATGAAATCAATATAACATTAAAATATAGGATGGTGTAACATGAACACATAAATTCAGATTTTTTAATTAACAATTATAATTTATTTCGTACGTTATATTGTGTAAATAGCAGTTTTAAATCACAAGCTGTAATGCACATGTGATTTATTCGAGCATTTTTAAACATAATTAATATAATTTCAGTTTACATTTACGTTTAACATAATTTGTTTTGCTTAAACAACTCCGATAGTGTAAAAATTGTAAATAATAATTATATCATAAAGATTTGTTTATATATTTTATTATAATGAATACATAGTTTTGGTGTTGATACATACACACATAGGTAGGATAAAATGTTTAAATTATGAATGTGTGAAGAACTTACGGCATTACTTTCGGCAGACGTTTCAATTTGAGACATTATTTCTACGTTAAAAATAAGTGACTAGCTACAAACAAATCAGATTCAAAATTAAGGGAGAACCAAATAAAATTCAATAAAAATTAATATTTTGTTTTAAAAGTTAAAACAAAAAAAAAACCGCATTCAGTTGAATTACAAACATTACAAAATAATGAGGACTGGGGGTTGCAGAATAGTGGAAGTGGAAAACATATAACAAAATTGAAGTTAGTAACGTCTGCACAACCGCATTATTCTTGTGGGTAATGTTTAACCTCAAAAATATTGTACGTTTTGCCAATTACCGTTGGTTACCGTAATCCATTAATTGACTTTTGTGTTAAAATGTTATTTGAATTTGAAATCCAAACAATTTTTTCCATTTGTTCATTGAGAATCAAAATATCAAATAATATAGTTAATTTTTGTAGAAGACCGCCAAGACGTTACGACCGTCATTCACCAAATATTGATTTTTTTTCTCCTTGTACACTGCTATCTACACGTCAAAATAATATTATCAGTTTAAAATCCGCCAGTGGCAGTAGTGGTTATAAAAAAGGGTGTATTCAGAGTTGTTTATAATGTTTCGTTATAACTTATTAGTTAATAGTAAATAGGTATTGACTATTGGTATCATAGAGTAATAAAACTATAGAGGCGGCATTAGGCAGATATTATGATTATCAGATCGAAGCAAAATTGAACGCCATTGTACCCCTCTTACAACTCTAGTGAACACTAGATAGCGTTTTCGACCATGAAATTAAATGGATAATCGACATTATATTTTATTACTCTATGGTCTATGGTGATAACTGATAATAAATGATTAATGTTTGATTAGCATTAAAAATTATAATTTTAATTATAATTATAATTTTTAACTGTATTTTAAATTTTGTAAAATTGTAAGTAACGCGAGTCTAGCCTAAAATCATCATTTGTAAAATTTGTTCTTCTTATTTTAAAATTAATTTTTATTATTCCAAATAAAATAATGTGTTAGTATATTTACAACAATTTATTTTCCATATGATGGTTGCACTGCAAGTACCCCGTTTTCGCTTCACTTTTAGAATGATATGGCCACCCCTTGATTGGTATTTGCTTGGTCTTATACTCTTATCCACAATTTGTTTTTAGTAGTTTTGTGTGGCGTTTTCGTACGTTTATCGGTATTACGATTGTTTTGAATTTTTACGTTCGGTCATGAATCATTGTTTTCTCAAACATTTGTGATAGAAAAATTATGAATGAGTTTTTGTAATTAATATTTTTTCAAAATGTCATCATTAGCATCTAAGGATTATGATCTGGTGAGTATAATAATATACCAACATTTACGTAAATCGACGCATGAAGGAATTTTTGGGTGGGACAAGTGGGTAGGGTGTATGGCATTATCAAAATTATATATTTATTGTCTTAAACAAAAATTATGTATCCCCCAAATATTAAATTTATGTATGAATTACTGTTAAGTTCACAATCCAGATACAGGCCTACCGAATTGTCACGTTTTATTATTGATTACTTTTTATAATTATGTGGCTTCAAATTATTTAAGGCAAGCCTTCAATGGTTTCATTTTATGAACTCTTAATTTATGTATTTTCAATAGGAGGAATATTATACTGGTCTGGGCCTTTATGGATAAAACACCTTTAATGATAGGGACAGATACTACATTTTTATATTTTATAGGTAGGACTTAGGTTGTTATGTTTTTAACTATTTTTGTTTCTAATATTTACAATGAGTTATTCTGATAGGTGTACCTATTTAAATATTATTTTTTTTGATAAACTGGTTTTATTTATAATATTTTTCCTAAAATTATAAATTTAAGTACGTACCTACCTTTTAAATAAAAATAAAATTTAAATGGCAGACATTTTCCCCCTAGACATTTTTCCCCCGCTTGTTTTTGGTGTTGTAGGTAATTTTCCCCCTGATACATTTTTGATTCGGACATTTCCCCCCCGTTTTTTTTTTGTTTTTTTATTTTTAATTTTTTACCTTCGAATATAAAATTATTATTTTTAACACATATTTTTGAGCTTTTTTCATTCTTTTTTTTTTGTAAAAACTGTATGTTAACTAAAAAATCTTTAATCTCAATTTCAATAAAAAAAATAATAGACAATATTTAAACCAAGTTAAGTAAAAATATAGTTTTAAATAAAAGTTAAATAGTATAGTATACTAATATTGAATTAGATGGGTAACATTGAAATCTAAAATTGTGTCCATAACCCAGTCAATAAGTAAGACTATTAACAAAACATTCCTCGTAACATTCTTATACAATCTTACATCGTCATGAGCAGTGGCGCCGAACACGTACTTAAGGTGGTGCATTTGCACCACCTACAATTGGTGGGTGGGTACTGGCCACTGGGTGTCTGGGTCCATATAGTTTTGAAAAACTGACACTAAGTAGCCAGTAAGTACCTACTTAATACGAACTTGTTAATACTTTAATAATTGATGGCCAAGTAATTGTAGAAAGTAGAAACAAAGTGTAATAAATATTACTAATAATGCATACTAATGTTTACAAATTAAAACTATTAATATTCGGCGCTGATCAAGGTAGTACACCGTACACCGCACATGCGCACTAGATGATACAATACTCTGTATATTACTGTATATAATATATATATATATATCACTGTAGCACAGGCCGCACCACCCACCCGCATCCCGCCTGGATTTTCCGTCTATTAGTCAGTGCCGTAACTAGGCTACTTGAGGCCTGTGATGCAAAACCAAAATATTGAGGCCCCTATTATCTTTTTCAATACACACCTCAAAAACTTTTTTTGCAATAATTTTTAAAGTCAGCAGACAAAAATTCGGGCTTAAACAAAAAAAAAAATTTTAATTTAAAATAATCTATAGTTTTAAAACAATTTCTCAAGGCTATAACTAACTCAAAAGAGTAAAAATTTTCCAAAATGTAATTTATTGAAAATATTCATATAAATATTTGGTGAAAACTTAAATTTTCTTCGGTTTTTAGTTTTCGAGTTACACCAAAAAATAAAATTTTTGGTTTTAAGTAAATAGACAATATTTTAGATTCTGAGTGAAACGATGAATGTATTGATTTTACAATGATGTGTGTTTTTTTTTTTTTTTGTGTCTGTCATCACGTTTTAGGACAGTAAAAGTGCTTGGATTTTCTTCAACAGTAGCTTTTCTGATAGGAAAGTGAATCTTGTTGGTACTTTGGGGAGTCAAAAGTAAAAGTTTCCCAGTAGTTTTCACAAGCGCCGGGAAAAACAACATAAAAATTAAGGAAAAACTGGAATTTTTACGCAAAAAATCGATTTTGGTTTTTGGTGTAAGTGTAACTCTAAAACAAATGAACGTATATACATGACATTTTCACTGGTTATTTATATTTGCATTTTATATACACGATAACATTTTCAAAATATTTTGATTTATTTTGAACTGTTTAGGGACGTCTTCATTTTCCATTTTTTTTTAGTTTTTTTTCTAAAAATATCAATAAAATTTTATTTGTTGGTTGCGAAAGCTTGAAAATTTAATAGAAGGCTCCTAGTATATTGTTTCAAAGGCAGATGAAAAATATTAAAAATCCTTAGTCACAATTTTTTTTATAAGCATTTAAAGTTCAAAAATTGACAAAATATGGAAAAATCACGAAAATTAGCAAATTATTTTGTGTTAAGAATTCGTAAAGATTTTTCTTTTTAAATCTAAGATTTGAAAATGTAATACAAGATTCCTTATAAGATTATCTACCTTTATCAAAAAAAAAATGTCTATAAGAAAGTCAAATTAAATTTTTATGAGCGTTTGAAATTCAAATTTTTACAACATTGGATATTCACTCGATTTCTCATGTAGCGACCACAATATATAGTTGGGGAATGGTGATGAAGCAGATGATAGACTACATGAGATTTGATCATGGAAAGGGATGAGGGTTGTTTAAACATCCGAAGTGTGTCGTTAAAATATAATAAAGACAATTGATTTGATAGTATAATTTTGTCAACTCAATAAATTATTCTGTATTAAATTGACAAAAAATGTTTGTAGTGGTGAGAGTGCCTACTTTAAAATGTATAGTAATATTTGTTTTAAAAAATAGTCTTTAGATCTTTTGAGGCCCTTCGATATATTATAAAGCCCGAGGCCTGTGTGCGGTGCACACTTTGCACACCCGGTTTTTACGGCACTGCTATTAGTATAAGGTCTATGGTTATTATTAACTATACGAACATAATAATATGTCGTATTGAGTTATTGACTATAATTGTCGACACAACAAGATGTAACCACTGAAAAAACTTTTTCAAAATTAAAAACTATCAAAAATCGGTTAAGGAGCACTATGAAACAAGATCGTCTAGAGTCATTGTTAATAATATCATGTGAGTCCGATGTGCTCATAGATAATAATGAAGTGGTTGATGTATTTGCAAAATGTAGTTCAGTACTAAGCAAAAAACTTATTGGTTAAAACTTAAAATGTAAAAATTAATTATATACCTACATAATATACATGTATTTTATAGATAGATCATAAATGTATTGATTTATGTATAAAACAATATTTTATTAAAGTTTTATTGGAAATGTTGACTTTGAACCTAATTGAAAATAAAATTTTTGTGGGTGTCTAGGTAGGGGTGGGTGGGTGGTTAAAATTTGTGTTTGCACCACCTACTAAAAAGTAGTTCGGCGCCACTGGTCATGAGCATTGGGTAAATATTTTATATCAACACTGTTCAAAGCAGTTTAGTAGTGGTTTAGTGGTTATAGAGGTTATAAACCTTTTAAAATAAAAATTCTTGTTTTAAATTTTTTTTGTGGTCATATTATATAAAATACAAATTCTTAAAACAGACAGAGGAGGTTTAAAAATTGTTTTTAAAAACTATATGTATACAAAACAAAAAATGGGTGTGTGTAGAAAAAAAAAGAAAAATTGTAAAGGTAGTGTAACAACTCCTTCCAGACATTTCACAATAGAAATGTCAAATTTATCAAACGAATTCATTATATTTTGTTTATACAATCTTTTTTATTTTTATGTCAGGTTTTTTGGCCAGCTGTATTGTACTATATTATATTATTTTGACAATCTTTTATTTAAAATTATAGTTTTACTTAACTTGCTTTAAATAATATTTATTATTTTTTTATGGAATTAAGATTAAAAATTTTTTAGTTAACGTACAGTTTTTACAAAAAACAAAAAAAATAAATATGAACAAAATCTAAAAAATATGTGTTAAAAATAATAATTTTATATTCGAAGGTAAAAAATTAAAAGTAAAAAAACGGGGGAAAATGTCCGCATTCAAAAATTTATCGAGGGGAACCTACCTATAGTCATATTATATGGATGTCAATGTACCAATACAAATGCTAAGTAGTGTTGTTTAGGTAAACTGTGTTTTATTTTAATTACAAATATAGTGAAACTTTCATTTAATACAATTTTCTGTTCAATGAACATTTTTTTGAAAATCAAACCAAATTGGAACCAGATTCATTTAATTCTATTTAACAAAATTCTTTATAGACTTATAGTACACATTTTTTTATTTCATGAGACTTCATAATATGGACATTTCATTGTATTCAATTTCCTTATTTCCTTGTTATTAGGGAAGGGGCATACTTCATTACATTTAAGAAATTTATTTACTAGTTAGGTATAAAATTAGATAATTATCATAGCCCACAGTAAAAACGAAACTAAGTGGTACCTATTCTTATCTTTAAAAAGCAATAACTAGATCTTATAGTTAATTACATTAGTTTTGTAGTTGTTTATTTCGGTAGTTTAGGTTTTTAATTTATTCTGTGGTTCTATAATAGTATGTTATAGAGTGATATACAGTGAAGTATCATCATAATAAATTGTAACACAAATATAGAGTTGGGTGTAGTCTTGTAAATTCAAGAATTAGTTTCAATTGAATAAATGGTGTTCAATTGATGATAAATCCTTTACTACATTTAATAGTTGTTATTGCATTTGATTACTTTGTTAATAATGTAGGTATTTATTGTTATTGGTTATTACAGTGTTTTCAATATAAAGGTAAAAATATGTAATGGTATACCCAGGTTAATTATGTTTAATTACTATGGACTGGAATGTTTGCCCTCACTACTCTAAAATAAATTACAAACATTTTCAACTTTTTTCATCAAGTGTAGTCTTTCTTTATTAAACACTTCATGTCCACATTAGTTAGTAAAATTTCCAATTTGTAAATGAGTAATACCTAAAGCACAAACCTTGAACCTTTCAATTTATGTAAAATGTTTATTATTGAATGAAATATTTTATTTATGTTTGATAATTTGTCCTTATATTGTGTTCTCAATCAAGTTGATAATAATAATGAATTCTTGGCGTTGATCCATAACAATTTGGCATTGTGGTTTGAGTATACTAAAAACTAATTATATACCTATTATGTTTAATAAACAACATAATATTATTATAAGTGCATTAGTAAATTACTGTGGCATAGGGGGGGGGGGGCTGTGGGGGCACAGCTCTCCCAGAAATTTCAGGAAAATTTCAAAATGCTTTTAGTGTTCTGTGTAAGTATTATGTATAAGCTATGTAAGATGTAACAATGTAATAATATTGTAATTTGGATGTTTGCCGTGTCGGCCTGGCACACCAAAGGTCCCGGTTCCTGGTGGATCCGGTTTTTAAGGGCTCCCATAATAAAATACAAAGCCCCCCAAAAAATGTACTTATAATTGTGTTGAAAAAATTCTCATCACCATTTTTTCTTTTAAATATACATTTATTCAAATTCTGATTTTTAGAATTTTTAAGTATACTTAAAGACCATATTTACGCTAAGCCTAATCATTTGTTTAATAATATACTATGAAACTATTGAAAAATTTTAAATTACAATATATTGAATAATAAATAACTTATTAATTACATAGAAACAAAATTATATTTCTATCATAGAAAGTTGCTGCAAAAGTCTAAAATGCTATATGCATCAAAAACCTAACTTATAAGGGATCCTAGTTAAACTTCTCTTATGTAACAAATCAGTGGCCTATACTCAAAAATGTCACGGCCTAGTCTTGTTATATCAACAACCATCATCTTAAACATATTTGATTTCAGATTTCAGATTCTAGAATGAAAGAATTTAAAATTTTCCAAATAATTACCTATTTATCATATCCAAAATTATTATTTTACATAGTAGCTAGTTTTACATAGATTTTATCAAATTAATAAGATTTTTAGATAATAGTTGATATGTAAAATATTTCATAATTTACAAGATATCAAAATATTTTGTATATAATTATAACCTAATTGGTAATTATTTAGTTTATAAGGAACATAGTGTGTGCAGATAAATATTTTTCTGTAGTGAATTAAGACAAGCACATTTAAGTTATAAAAAACCTAGGAAAAGAAACAAAACTTCAAATCATATTTTTAAAAAATCACTGATAAAAATATTAAAATATGCAATATTATTTCATTTACACTTTGTAATTATTTTATTTTGTTTTATTAATTAATATAATATAATATTTAGCTACAATTACGTTTTTATTACATGAAATCCCACCTATCGATTATAATTTTTTTTTTTTTATTTAGACACTAAAAAAATTTCTGCTCTTTCGAAAAACTTGAAAATTTTATACAAGGTTTCTCGTAAGTTGTTGTTTGTGGAAATTAAAAAATCCACACTAATTTTTTATGATTATCTGAACTAAGAATATTGACTACAATTACAAATTATTATGTAGTTAAAAATGTTAAATTTTTATAGCTAAAGATTAAAAATGTAAAACAAGGTTCCACGTAAGTAGTTAATTCTGTAACAAAAAAGTCTAAAAAATGTATACACATAGTTTTTTTTTTAAAAGTGATCTTAAATTCATATTAGGATGAATTTACATATTTAACCTAACCAAGAATAACCTTTTTAGTTATTTTCTTGTATTTTAAAAATATTATTAGTGGGTACTTGAAACTTTTAAAAAATATTGCTGTATACTAGTATGATAATCTGCAAATAATATTATTAAATCAACTTAAACGGCTAACGTATTAATAATATTATAACAATAAAAATATAATATAAAATATCTAGGCTGACAAATTGTTTCCGCTCAGAATAATTTTTCGTATACAATGATATTATAGCAATGAATTCAAATTTAACTCCATACATTTCAATGACCTGGCACATACCCATGCATTACGGTCGTTTATAACCTACTGTACAGCAGAGCGACAACACTTACCCGCTTTTTTAGTAATTTTTTATTTAATAAACACAAATTTAATAAATTACTTACTCGTTATAAATTTAATTTATATGTGTTGAGTTATTTTAATTACAGTTTGTTTTCTTTTTATAACTGTATATATGTTTAAACGTTTGGAACACCACCCATTGAACTTAATGGATAAATGTGTATTCAGTACACAATGTTATTTGTGTCACCTGCATATTCAAAATAGATGCTTAACTGACTATTATATGTTGTTTGGCAACTTTTCAAATAAAAATATATTCCTTGTTCGCACTTAATTCATATTTAAAACTAAACATGGAATGACTTAATGCTATGTTTGAGAATATTTATAATATGATAGTTATCTTTTGATGTTAAATAATGTTCTTTAAATATGATCTAAACTGTATAGTATTATAAGTGTGTGCAGGCTGTTGTAGATGTTATTAACAGAGTAGAAATAAATAATATCAATATTTCCGATTAAACTTAAACTCCGTTCCAACAACTTTTCAATAAGGGATCAAAAGGATACAATTTTTAACCATGACCAATCTTACCATCAAATGTACATATTAACCATGTAAGATAATCACATGATCATTGAAATGTATAAAATAAAAAAAATCATCCTAAATATTATTTACAAATTATATTAATTATGATATTACGGTCTATAAGTAACTTGCCTCTAGCCACCCCCTGTGTATACATTTTTTAGACTTTTTGGTTACAGAATTAACCATCAAGGATATATAAGAAATTATAATTCACAACTAGTATATTTTTTCCAAATCTAATTTGGAATTAAGTCTTATTTACAACATACTCTTTGATACTTCCACACTTGTGTATAGGTAGTGTTAACATCAACTTTGTAAATAATGTCAACAATTGTAGTCGCCAGACCATGAATCGAATCCAGATCTCTCACTTGCCTGGGGATTGAGCTACCTAACAGCATAGACTTAAGACGCTATTTCCCCTCGTCAATTATATGATAGATAATAGAAACATAATATGTGATACAATTATATTATAGTGTTTTATGTTTTTATATTTTTATATATGCTGAAATAGATTTTGCCAAGTCACATTTAAAAAAAATGTTTGAGGGTTCTAGAATTTAGACATTTTTGGTAGTTTATATTAATTTCAAAAATACTCTAAAGAAAATATTTTTTATTGCCATTACATAATATCTACTATATATTTGCTTTTGAAATTCATTTATAGCAAAGATACATTTTAATGTTTATTAACATTTAAATTTTTTTACCTTAGCATGGAAGAACAGACTCATATCGTGTTGCTACAGTTCCATCTCAGTTTGATGATAATAAAACAGTAGATGGAAAACCAAAAGTATACAAGACAATTTTCTTTTACATTATTATTAAATTTACTTATATTTTAAAACAATTGTATCGTAATTTTAGACAAGAAGAAAAGCACCATCGTCGATTAGTACCAAGTATAGTCACGCTGAAAACTTAGATGAACTGAAACAAGATCCATATTTGGACTATCATAAAGTACCATTAGATGAACTGTACCAACGATTTGGAACACATCCTGGAACTGTAAATATACATTAATTATTTACAGTTAATATAAATATTATATACAACCAAAACTGTTAAGAGGATATCATCGCAGTATTTGTTTTCGTTCTCAGGCCCATGTGCAAGTGTGCTAACACATTCATGTAAAATCGTTTTTATTTATGTTTTGGTACTCTTAAAGTTAAGTTACTTATTACAAAAATTATAGAGAATAATATTGAGGGTTTGGCATATTAATTTTATATTTTATTATCATTATAATATTATTGTACTATACTAGCATAGCTAGTTATATAATATATATTACATGATCGGCACTCATTATTTCTGTCATTTTATTAGATAGTTCACATACTAGGGTGCTATCATACTTTTTAGATGAATGTATTGGTTTTACAATGATTTGTGTTATTTTTTTTTGTCTCGTCGCCTTTTGGGGTAGTGGGACAGTTATAATGGTTTGATTTTAAACTTCAGCATCTTGTTTGATGAGAAAATTAATATAGTTGGTGCAAATTTAAAATTCCCAGTAGTTTTTAAAAGCGCTGGGAAAAACAAAAAAAAAAAATTAAGAAATAAAAATGGTGATTTTTAAGCCAAAATTGATTAAATTTCATTAACACCCCAACATTTTCAAAATATTTTATCTTGTTTCGAGTGGATTTATTTTTTTATTTTTTGCTTTATGGGCTCTTAAGGCCTTTCGCAGCTTCTACTATACCTCTCCACTTGTCACGATCACTGGCAGTCTCGAAACTTGCTGCTTCGTCCACCATTCTCGAGTGGTTTATGGACATTATAAAATTTAAAGTTTTTAGTTTTATTTTCCTAAAAATGTCAATAAAATTTTTTTCTCTGTCAAGGTAAAAACGCTTGAAAATTGAATACAAGGGTCCTGATATATTGTTACAATAGCAGTTGAAAAATTTTAAAAATACAAAGTCACAAAGTTTGAATTTGACAAAAATAACAAAATCTCGAAAATTATTATTTTGTAATTAAAAAATTATAAATGATAAATTTTTATAGCTAGGATTGAAATATAAAACAAAGGTTCTCCTAATATATATTATTATATTTTTACATAAATTACATTTTCAAAAATGAGTTGAACTAATATAGTAAATACGAATTTCCTAATACTAAGATAATTACGTTAATCACAATTATTCATAAAAATTACATCTATTAGTAAATATTATAGGCTGACTTTCATAATTCTTTTCACATCGATTATCTTATTTTTCATTAAATCAAATTTAATACCACCAGTACATTATGCCACGTGTAAACTATTATAGGCAGCGACATCCACTCCTGCGCGTTTAGTATGTTTTTACTTAAATAAACACAATTTAACACAATTTCAACTTTTTTTAATATATTATAAACGTAACCTAACTTGTATAATATAATTAGTGGTAATAATTAACATAGAAATAGGTTATGGTATGTCTATAATGAATTAATAATATTATTGCTCTGTATAAAATAGTAACTAGGTTGAGTACGTGGGGGCATTCGATAAATGTAAAATAACTTTAATTGTTGGGTATTTGGAAATATCTGTCTATACACTGTAAGAATTGTTTGTTTGTTTTTTTTTTTATGAATAGATGTGGTTAATGCGAACCTTTTTTTAAGCAAATAATTCTGAAAGTAAGTGAGTAGCATATTTGTAATACATCTTTTTAACATTTGAATAATTCTCACATACTTTTACAACTTGCAATAGTAAAATAATTAAATTCAAATTCTTGATGTTAGCTTAAGATATTTATATTATATTAGTAGTGTAATAATTGTTTATCATTAGAAGGCTATCTGCCTGTACTTTTAATAAATTACTAAAGAAAAATATGTATCAATATCATTTATTAATTATTAGTGATGTAACCACTGTCTGGTATAGACAAATTCAGATTAACATACAATTTAAAATTACAATACTTGTATAGGATAACTAATTATTAAAATCACATTGCCTCTATTTTTTTTTAATTTTAAATTTTATACTAGGGGTTAACTCATGCAAAAGCTCGCGAAAATTTAGAAAGAGATGGACCTAATACTCTGACACCGCCAATTACAACTCCTGAATGGATAAAATTTGCAAAACAGATTTTTGGTGGATTTTCAGTATTATTATGGTGTGGAGCACTTCTGTGTTTCCTAGCCCATACTGCAGAAACTAGTACCACAGAAGATCCAAATGACGATTATGTAAGTTTTTAATTTTTTTTAATTGAGATTTTACTTTTTACAAACCTGTTTATAAATACCTGCAACCATGAAAATTCCTAAACTAATTAATGGTGGTTTTAAGTATTTATTCAATGTTATTTAAACTAATATGTTTAAACCCTATATTCTACAATCCAGTTTTACTTGGGAGTAGTATTAGTTGCTGTTGTCATCATCACAGGAATCTTCTCCTATTATCAACAAGCTAAATCTTCTGCAATTGTGGATTCATTTAGGAATTTAGTTCCTCAGGTAAGGCAGAGAATTAGCTGAAATTATTGTTTTGGTGTGGTTTAGCTTTTTTATTATAATGTACTGTTTTTTGTAGCAGCATGATTGTGGGTTTGTGTTCAGGTGAGAAGTAGTTACTTATGCTTGCTTATAACTTTTATTTTATCGCAGATTTACTTAGGTTCAAGTTTAATAGCTGTTATTGTAGTCACTGGCTTTTTATCTTACTGTCGGCAGTATAATCAAGGTGAAATCATCCGATCATTCTATGAAACAACTTCTCAGGTCTGTCATCATTTAAGTTGCTTTATTATGATACCATACTTAATACCAAGATTTGTTGTCTGTATCATACACATGCAAAACATAATATATATATTTCTTGTTACTTTTTCTAATATTTTTACATGAGATGTAATTTGAATTATAATATTTGACGTATTTAAAAATGTTCATTTAATATTATGTTAATTCATTCCAATGCTAAAAATAAAAATAAAATTGTAAAGACTATATTATTATACCAATGTAGTCTCCCTCTCCACTTTGTCATTTCAATTCAGGAAATTTTACAATATTTTAAAAAGTAATTGGTAATTGCAATAATTAATAATAGGTGTTGATTCAAGTACAGGTTGAATATGTGTTATAATTAAAAACTTATAATTATGTGGCATGTATATGCTATAAATTGAAAACTAAAACTAAATAATAAATTTTAGAGTGATGGAATTTATGAATTTATTGTTATATCTAAAATGTGCATTTATATGCTTAATATAGCTTAACAGGTTAAGCTCCACATAGAGCATATTTCCCTAAATACTACTTGTCGAAATGGTTCTTATCAGATTCAATGGGGTTGTCTAAAAATGTTTGGAGGAAATTACATATTAAATAACCAAGGATAACAATTTTAGTATACTAATTTCCTATCACTTGCTTTTCATTTTTGAAATCTTGCTATGTTTTTTAAATTGATAAAACAAAGTGGGAAGTTGGCCCCTCAAAATGGTTTTTAGCTTACAATATTTTAATGACTTATTTACAAATTCTAAATATTAATTTGAAAATATTGGCATACTTTTCAAATTGATCTTTACGTACATTTAGATTATAAATTATAGCGTCAATATTTTTCGTATGAGTATGTAAGTCAAAAGCAATATACTTATGTGTCATAAAATTATAATAAGATATGTAAAATATTATAGTTTAAAAATGTTCATGATTCTCTTTCAAATTGCAAAGTTGATAAATAAATATCATCTCTAATAATAAATCTAACTAATACTAGTTCTGCTATCCTCAAATTTTGAATTTCATGCGTTTGTAAGATGGAAACAACAAATATTGGGATAGAGTTGTCTATACATAATATCATGTATTTAGTTATAAATATTTTCTGTATAAGTTTTTACAATATTATTATAATGTATTACTCATTAATAGTTAATTTATTTTACAATTTTTTTTTTTGTAACTTAAATTAACTTAAATTATATTTACTTTAAATGCAAGTTTATAAAATACAATTTCAAATAACAATCTATTTAAACTTTTTTGTAGTTAACACTTATAATTAGTCATATTATATTAAAATAATTTTTCCAGTTATCATAACACATTATAATATATGTCTAATTAACTTAACTTGAAATTAATATTTATCAAACTGCTGTTTAATTTGGTAATTTGCTATTTTATAGTTTGTTCAATACTTAATAGCTTATATTTATTGTGTTATATGTAGGTATGGTGTTTTCAAAATCTTATATTTTTTTCTTTTGGGAAATTATTACACTTTGTAGTTAATTATATGTTATGCTGCTTTACTGCTTTTAATATTAAATAGGGATTCCTCAAAATATTTTGCTTTTGAAAAAAAATGTTGTGGGTACTATAGTTTAAAATAGTATAATTGATATTATTATTAATTTGGAAAAATAAGTCACCATTCAATTTAAATATTTTCTAAATTGTCATTTTTTTCTTACTACTTATATTTAAGTATGTATTCATTATTAAACATTTACTTTACTTAAATGTATATGTTTATATATAGTTTTTTTTTAATAAAAACTTAAATTAAATTTATTTAACGATTACTGAAAATTAATATATTTTGAGTTATATCTTATTTAATATATTCTAATGAAATATTATCTTTGAGGTGTTGGAACATTTATATTATTGTTAAATTATTATATTTTAATACTAAGTTATTTAAATAGTTTGCAGTAGTTATACGTCAAGGTGAATCATTAACATTACGAGCTGAAGATCTTACTCTTGGTGACATTGTTGAGCTTAAGTTTGGAGACCGTATCCCAGCTGACTTAAGAATTATTGAGAGTCATTCATTTAAAGTTGATAATTCATCACTGACTGGTGAATCTGAACCTCAAAGTCGCACTCCAGAATTTACTCATGACGATCCTTTGGAAACTAAAAATTTTGCATTTTCTTCCACTCATGCTGTTGAAGGTTATATTAAATATTTGAATGACATTAGTAATTGTTATTATTAAACTGAAATATAAATTGAATTGTTTTAATTTAGGAACTGCTAAGGGTGTAGTTATTGCATGTGGAGATAATACTGTTATGGGAAGAATTGCCGGATTAGCTTCAAGTTTAGACAGTCGACCAACACCAATTGCAAGGGAAATAATTCGTTTTGTGAATTTTGTTAATATTACGGCTATAATTATTGGAATATTACTATTCATTATTGCATTGATGATGGGTTGTTATTGGTTAGATGCCATTATTTTTATGATAGGTTGGTCATTAGTTCATTAATGTTATTATATTTTTATAACTATTAAATTATGAACCAATATTATTCTGTGCCTTAGGTTTTTTAGTTGCAGCTGTTCCAGAAGGTTTGTTAGCCACTGTAACTGTTTGTTTAACATTAACTGCCAAACGAATGGCATCTAAAAACTGTCTTGTAAAGAATTTGGAAGCAGTAGAGACACTAGGCTCAACTTCAACAATTTGTTCTGATAAGACTGGAACATTAACTCAAAATCGTATGACTGTTGCTCACATGTGGTTTGATAATCAAATTATTGAAGCAGACACTACTGAGGATCAGTCTGGTGTGCAATATGATAGATCCAGTCCTGGGTTTAGAGCTTTGGCTAGAATTGCCACACTTTGTAATCGAGCTGAATTTAAAGCAGGACAAGATGGTGTACCTACTCTAAAAAAGTTAGTTTATATTACATTAAACAATTATATAGTAAAAGAACTTATTCAAATGTTTTTTTAGGGAAGTAAATGGGGATGCTTCAGAATCGGCTTTGTTGAAGTGTATGACACTTGCTCTTGGTGATGTAATGTCCATCAGAAGGCGTAACCGTAAGGTTTGCGAGATACCTTTTAATTCAACAAATAAATATCAGGTAATTGATAATAATTATTCATTTTAAATTACACTTTAAATGTATAGTAAATTATTAATATGATAATTTTATATTATTAGGTTTCAATTCATGAGACTGAAGATCCTTCAGATTCTCGATATTCTCGATATTTATTAGTTATGAAAGGAGCTCCTGAACGTGTCCTTGATCGTTGCTCTACCATATTTATTGGGGGAAAAGAAAAAGTTCTCGATGAAGAAATGCGTGAAGCATTTAATAACGCATACTTAGAATTAGGTGGTCTTGGCGAGCGTGTCCTAGGTTTTTGTGATATGTTATTATCACCAGACCGTTTTCCAAAAAATTTCCAGTTTGATGTCGATGAACCTAATTTCCCATTAAGTGGTATGCGATTTGTTGGGTTGATGTCTATGATAGATCCACCAAGAGCAGCGGTTCCAGATGCTGTGGCTAAATGCCGTTCAGCTGGTATAAAAGTGATTATGGTTACTGGAGATCATCCTATTACTGCTAAGGCAATCGCAAAATCTGTTGGAATTATATCTGAAGGAAATGAAACAGTTGAAGACATCTCTCAGAGATTAAATATTCCTATATCTGAAGTAAATCCAAGAGATGCTAATGCAGCTGTCGTGCATGGTTCTGAACTATTGGATTTGCCTCCAGAGGTTTTGGATGAAATATTAAGGTAAACAACAGTTTTAATATAATTAGAATTATGGAAATTTATTTTATTTAAACACTTTATAATATTTTAGATACCATAAAGAAATTGTATTTGCAAGAACTTCCCCTCAACAAAAATTAATTATTGTTGAAGGTTGTCAAAGAATTGGAGGAGTTGTTGCTGTAACTGGAGATGGTGTTAATGATTCACCTGCACTTAAAAAAGCAGATATTGGTTATTAGATGAATTATAAAATAATGAGATATCTATTATTACTATAAAAACATTTTTAATTAATTACGTATATATATGTTATTCAGGTGTTGCGATGGGTATTTCTGGATCAGATGTTTCAAAAGAAGCAGCTGACATGATTCTTTTAGATGATAATTTTGCTAGTATTGTTACTGGCATAGAAGAAGGACGTTTAGTGTTTGATAATTTAAAAAAATCTATTACTTATACTCTCTCATCTAATGTCCCTCAATTACTGCCGTTCATTGCTTTTATCATGCTAAGCATACCATTGCCTATTGGTGCTATTGCTATATTATGCATTGATCTTGGTACAGATATGGTAAGCATAAATATATATTGTTTTAATATTGTTACGTTGACAGATATTTTCTTTGGCAGAATGTTGATAATTATTTGGTTTGACGTTTGTTCACTACAGTTTTGATTATAATTAGGCTAAACATATGAGGTAAACCATTGACTTTTTTTATTATTCTAGAAACTGACATAATTTATATCTAATCAGTTTTATAATTTCCTTTTTAATCTACTATCCCCGTTAGGCTAACAGATAAATATAATATTTTCATTAAAGAAATATTCAATAATAATTAGCTAAGAATATTAATAAATTTAACTTAGATTAATTAACTTTGTTTTTTAATGTGACATAAATTGTCTTATAATTATTAGTTGTAATTGTAATTTATGATGTGATATATGATTATGTGTTCATAGTAGTGTGCAAGTATAGAGAATTCAACATTTTTAACAGTATTAATCAGTGGTGGATCTAAGATTCTAAAAAAATGGCATGGTTATAATTAAATCTGGATCATGTGTTTGGAAGTCGTGTATCATAAAAATTCTTGTAAAATCAATGTAGATATTATGAGTGTTATTAAAAAATTTGGTATTACCATGGGTTTAATTTATACATAATAAATATCACCTACAACGAGTATAATAATAATTTATCATCATTTTCTTACCTACATCTATTTATAGTATGATAATAATATGTTATTTTATTCCATTTTAATAATACTTTTTGAGTATAGATAATACTATTACCTATACATAATTATGTAGGTAGTATTCAATGTATTATAATATTTAGTTACCGATGAACTATTAATTATGTAGGTATGGAATTGTATTTTTTTTTTTTGGAATTATTTTTATTTTAATAATTAATATGACTTAAATACGTTAATTTTCATTATCTATCCATCCATACATGAAAAATATAATAGAATAAACTTAAATCGATATTTATAAATTTGCAATTAACAACATAAAGTAAAAATCAACAATAATCTTGTGTCTTAATAAATTTTGGAATTCCTAGTTGGGAATATTGGATTCAAACAATTATTGAAAATGATAAAAAAAAAAGAGACTAGACTAATGCTGACACATCAATAATTTATCAAGATAATGTTGGGGTAATGGGGTCTACAGCTATTTTGAGGATTTTTATAAAGAACAATAATATCTTATTTAATAAAACAAGAAAAAAGTAAACATGATATGTAAAAAATTTAATTTCTGAAATTTCTATTCTAAAAAAAATAATTACTCCAACACGATAAATTGTATTGTTTTTAACTAAATAATTTGATTGAAATGATAATATAACTACGTCAAAAATCATTATATTAATTACTACCACAGAAATTGTTCTACTTTTGAAAAATAGTTTTGATAATGGACTATGAGACAATTGAGACTCAACTTTTAAACATTTGACGTGGTACCAGTTAAATTTAGTAGGCATGTTAGTTGGGCTTTATTTAAAAGAAATAATAATTTTGGGGACTCATATATTTTTGATTAAAAATATTACAATGTATCTAATTATAAGAAGTGATAATGAAAAATAATAAGCCTGTATTTACTGAGCTTATATCTGCCACTAATATTAATTGATATATTGTATTATTAGAAACTAGATTTAAGTAGATAATAAATTAATAAATAATCATATTTTTTAAATTTAGCCAAAATGCTTGACACACTTTTAGCTAGAGCTTAAAATAAATATTTGTCAGTGTATTTAGTGAATATCTATAGAAAATATAGAAATAGAAAAAGTAGTTTTGAAATCCATTAGAATGGGCTTATTGTATTTAGGTTCCAGCCATTTCATTGGGTTATGAGCATCCAGAATCAGATATAATGAAGCGCCCTCCTAGAAATCTAATTAGAGATAAACTTGTGAATAACAGGTGACTATATTATGCAGTATTTATTGTTTTATAGCTTTTGCTTTTTGTCTTAGTTACATGCTTTGATATTTGGATTAATAATTAACACACTTATTTCTGCATAAATTTTTTCTTTTCTAATCTTGACCTTGCTAATCTGTATTTTTGAGATATATATTTAATTTTTAAGCTTTCAATGTAACAAAATAAATTTAAAAAAAAAAAAAAATGTTTGTGGATGATTTGTTTGTTATTTTGGGACTGCTAGATGCCTGGTATATCACTGGCATTTGAACCGGGCGAATCAAACCTGATGAAAAAGAAACCAACTATTAAAAACCCTCTATTTAATGTCAGGTAAACTCTATATACTATTTGTTTGTTTCCTTTGAATCTCTTCATTCGTGAATTGCTTGGCAAGTAGTTCTTAGCATAATAATAGCAAATTAATTTTAGTAAATTATATATTTAAACTTATTGTATTTAATCACTAATTTTTTTTTGTTATTTTTTTTTCAAGATTAATATCTGTGGCATTTGGTCAATTGGGTGTTATTGAGGCATTTGCTGGTTTTTTCACTTATTTTGTAATTATGGCTGAAAATGGATTTATGCCATATAAATTAATTGGAATACGCCGTGAATGGGACTCTAGAGCAGTTAATGATTTACCAGATTCATATAATCAAGAATGGGTAAATTATACTGAAATTTACATCTCGACATGTTAAAAATCATTAAATAATTTTTATCTCTAGACATATCAAGACCGCAAGTCCTTAGAGTATACGTGCCATACAGGCTTTTTCATAGCCATTGTAGTAGTACAATGGGCAAATCTTATTATATGTAAGACGAGGAGAAACTCAATTGCACATCAAGGAATGAGGTTTGTAAATAGTTATTGCATATTATATTTTGAACTAACTAATGCACTGGTATATTTCTAGAAATATGGCTCTGAACTTCAGTTTAATATTTGAGACTGTCTTAGCATTGTTCTTGTGTTATTTACCTGGAATGGATGAAGCTTTACGCATGTATCCATTGAAGTAAGACATTTATTATTAGTCTTAAATATTTTATGTTATAAATGTATACTAATACTTTTTTAGATGGACTTGGTGGATTCCTCCAATACCATTCATGCTAGCTTTATTTATTTATGACGAAGTAAGAAAATTTTACATAAGACGAAATCCGGGTGGATGGTTAGAAAAAGAAACATATTATTAAGTTAATTGCTATGATTGAAGTTAATCAATATTAAAAGGTAGTTAATTTAATTTCATGATCATTTATTAGAAATATATTCTTTAAAATGTAAGCATTGTCTTAAATTTATAATTATATTGATCTTATTTAAATTTAAATTCTTAAGTATAGCATGCACTAAACTAGCAATTTTCTTTCAAATTATTATTAACAATTTTTTTATATTAAAAACCAACACATAAGTTATAATCCTAACTGGTTTCTTTTATTAATATATACAGGGTTGTTAAAATTTGTATGACAAAATTTAAATGACATTGATTTTTTTCTTAATGTTTCTGTTGTACATGGCAGGCCATGATGCACTCAGTATTATATAACATAACTAACTTAGTTAAAGAAACACCACTGTAGTACTGTACACTGTACATAATATTTATTTTATCTATCACATAAATACAATTTATTATTTAGGGTAATTATTATAGTAACTATTTAAAGTATTATTATTTACAAAATCGTTATATTTAATTAAACATCAAAATACAACAATAATAATAAATTATTTTTTTGTTATAGAACTCATTAATTATTGTTTGTATGTATACAATTAAAATTTAAAGCTTTTTAAAAACTGTAACCAGTTTTAATAATGAACGTTTTTAATATTAAGTTTATATTACATTTTATTATACTTATATATAAATTTACCTTTGATTGTTGGAAAAATAATCTTATAGTGCATTATAAATGTATTAATCGTTAAAAATCTCATGAAACTGAATCTCAAGTACTAAAAGTATTTTTCAAATGTTGTATTATTTTTTATTCATCTTTCTTTTAGATCTTAAAGTCTAATTATGATATTTTTTTAAATAATTGATTTATATTTATGACTATCTTATATTATAAATAGCAATAGTATTAATAGTATTATATTTATATTAATATGCCTATATTATTTTTTGAAATAGTACTCAATAAAAATTAATAATGTAGTTATTATTAAGAAATAGTAGTATAGAAGCCCTGAATATTATTATTCGATAAACCATAAGACCAAATATTTTACCATGTGAAAAAATAAGAAACATAATACAAGCTAAGTATTATAATGCAATGTATTTAAAAATATATTTCATATTTGTCGTTCATTAAACACATTAAAAGTTATGACTATAAATAACTTATAAGAGGGAATTTAAAACTTTGTAATTTTTATTTTAAAACACAAGTTTTTTATATTTTTTTTTTCTCTTGATTAATAAAAGTAAAATATATAACATTAAACATAAGAGCTTTTTAAATGTAAAATTATTACTGTTATTTAATAATATTTTAAAATTTAAATGTTATTTGTTACACAACTTACAGTATTTGTAACAGCTGCAATATTTTTTTCTAAAATTATTTAAGTGTGTTTTTTTTTAATATTTATAATTAGTATTATTTATATTATATTACATTATTGTATACATGCAAGTGTTCAATAGAAGATCAAACTATATTTGTTTATTTATTTTTAATTAAAATAAAAAAAAAAAACAATTACACATTAATCAATAATTTTTGCTGGTGCTTCAAAACAAGTAACAATATTTCTTGAAATTGGATCCTTTAAACTCCAATGTATATCTACCTTAAACTGAATATAAAATAACAATTAAATGTGAAAATTGTTATGTAGACTTCTAAATATATAGTTTACCTTAGGATATGCTTCGATTATGTATATCTCGTCTTTGTAAACATATGTACTACCTTTTAGTACAGGACAATTTTTTTTTGTACCATTTTCTTCAAAGAGATTATTGCATACACTTTTATTATCTACTCCTAATAAGGGTATTGGTATATTTAATGCTATACCGTACACTTCTGTGATTAAATCCTTTACATCATATTCTAAAAAACAAAAATATATATAGGTATGTTGCAATAAAATACTTTTAAGTATTTCTATATGTACTTAGTAATGAGAATATTTACTAGTTCAGTTAAAATATTCTGCAAATATGAGCCACTGTACTTATAACTACAGCCCGGATTTAAATGCTACTACGTCCATGAATACTCTAAAAAATAGCTAAAAATGTCTATAAAAAATTATTTCACTGCAATAATGCCCTTAAAAATTTACATATAAAATCATTTTTTCAATTCAATGTTTTATTAAGGTACACGAACCTAATTTAAAATGAACAATACAATTAAAATAATTTACTAAACATTTATTTTTAAAAAAAAAACTGCAATTAGATGAAAATTTAATTAGAATTTCAGTGTTTATAAATTATAATCACAGTCTACTAATGTTACTATTAGATACATGTTTTCCCTCTGTATAGACCTAAGTTTGTAAATATTTAAAAGTAGAATTTTTGGAACAAAAGGATATCATCCCCCCCCCCCTTAGAAGACGAATCAAATCCGCTACTGAAGTCATACGAAATACAAATATGCATTAAAATTTAAAACTAACAAAATCACCAAAATTGCTAAATAATGCTTAAAAACTGAAAAAATATAGAAATATGCAACAAAATGCAACAAAATGCAAAATAAAAGTTTCACTCATGTGGTATCTATTTCATGAAGCAAATTATGTACTTGGAAACCATTGTCTAAGATCACCCAAAAAAAAGGCTGCATTGAAATCCGGGCCCTACTTATAACTATTATACTAAAACTGGGATGGCCATCCCAGGGCCCGCCTTGGAAAGTTTTGCGGCCCCCGACATTTATCAAATATTTACAAAAAAAAAATAATTAATACACCAAAACTTATTTTATAATAATAATTAATTTTGTTTATAATGTTTACTCCATTTTTTTGTATTGGGGCAAAATACTTTTATAATTTTATATGTGGCCTAATTTTGAATAGTAAAATATGTGATTATATTAATATTTTTTACTGGCTGATGACCTTTTTTTTTTGCAACCCTATATGTGGCCCGCTGGATTGTAATGTATTTACAAAGTGGCCCTCAAGTTTATTTGGGCTGGCCATCCCTTTACCAAAAATACATTTTCAATCCCATAACAAGTACCTACTGTTAGCATCAATTAGTTAAAACCTAATATAACCAAGAGATACAAATGGATGATGGTTCAATATATATATATATAATAAATTGACAGAGTACTATTATGGTAATCAAGAACTTATTTATTTATGTCTTAAATGGGCCTGGGGCAATTACATGAATTAGATGATAACAATACATTTTAAATGAGTCAGCGTTTGGTGAGATGAACAAATTCATTTTTAATACATGAATTGTTTTTATCATTCTCTTGCCGGGGGTATTATCTGCATAATTATTACATACACAATAATTCGCAAAACCATTCGTACACAACATCATTGATATTATTAATTGATTTGGTTTTACGACCAGTGAAATATCCTTAAACCACACAAGCTCTGGTAAATACCATCATCTGACATTTGTAAATCACATTTATATATTATTTTAATTCAATTTAATCCAGATTATACCAATACAAAGCTAAACACAGATTTACCTATTGGACCACAGAAAGTGAAAGTATATGTTTTATTTTGAAAACAACTAAATTATTTTTGTATTAGTTATCAAATTGTTTAAATTATAAATTATTAATAATAGATATTATTATTTATTCATACATACCAGATTTAAATTTAATTTGTATATGCATAGTACTATTTCGTTTTAATGAGCATCTTGATGTAGTAGTACAATTTTCAATTGTTACTGTAACGTTATTTAAAATTTCTTGATTTCCTGAAGAAAAAAATAGATAACAATAATTATATATACCTAACTATTTGAAGATAGATTTATATATTCCAAGAGTTTTTATTTAAGGAATCGACAATCGTAGATTAAAAAGCTACTATTTTAAAATATCTTGAACTGTCTAACTGACATGCCTGAAACACATTAGTATGCTGACATGCTGACTACTAACATGATGTAATAATATATACTTATAAGTTAATTATAATACCTACATAATTTATTTTAAATTTAAATTAGACATGTGCCTTTTTAAATCTACTGTACCGAATCAATAAGAATGAATCTAAAAAAAACTATTAAATAGAATATTTTATTAATATTTTGTTACGATTAGAAAATAGTCGGATTGATAAATAAATCAAGAAAATTGAATGCCAGTATTAATTTTTGTGGTACATACATAACTCATTAAATTTAATTGTTAACAATGATTCAATGTACTTACCAATTTGTTTTTCATTAAATAGATCAGATACTAGACTAACCTACACTTAAGATATCAAGATTCAGAGAAATATCGATAACTATTAAAGAATAAAAACTACTGACTTAACTTTGTGCTGCCCTGGTGGCTGGGTGACAAATTATGTGCCTAGAAAAAAATGCCCCAAAGTAAATGAAGAATAAAGAATAAATATATTATGAATTGTCATACCTACGAATATTCGTAAATACATGTTGGGAAAGTTACTTTTAAGAAGTAATTAAGTTACTTTACTCGTTACTCAAATAAAATTGCAATGAAATTAATTGACTTTTCAAATAGAAAAGTAACCCATTACTTTCTCGTTACAAAAATAAAAAAAATTTTAATTTCTTGGCAATTATCTTCTGCAGGCAAATTGAACAAGCAAATTCTTTATAAAACCTGTATATACCTAGTTAATAGGATCATATAAAATGTAGTCTTCCACACAAGCTATATTTATATAATCATATAGGAAACCTATTTAAAGGAATCAAATTAAATAATAATTTTAATTAACTATTCTCGTGGTGTACGGTGCAATTAGACATTTCAAATGTCAAAACCATTGAAAACCATGAATTGTGCCGAGTTAAACTTAAATTTATATACATAATATTAGATTGGTAAACATAATGATACCCGCATTATACATATATTTTTTTTCAATTCGCAGTAGGTATAAATATAGGTCGGTACTTAATAATTCGAAACTGTAACGCGTTATTCTATAGAAATTACTTTTCAAAAGTAATTTCCATTACATTTTCGTTACTTGGAAATAATTCTAATGAAATTACGTAAAGCGTTACAAGCAAAGTAACGCGTTACTTTCGTTATACGTTACCTACTACCCAACACTGCGTAAATATTAGTTAAATAAAAATAAATTGCTTAAGAAATTTTAACAAATTAAAAATAGTTCTTTAGCATTTAGTTTATAGTTTATATTGTTTATATATATAATATATACAAATAACGAACTTTTCTCCAAATTCCTAAATTAGGTATTCAATTATATGGTTTTTTTTTATTTTACAAACAAGTACCTAAGTAAATACCTTCAACTCTTAGCCCTTAGGTTAGCTTGGATAGCTTTTCAATTTTTTATCACGGAAGAAACTGACAAATTATTAGATTTATCCGAAATTGTATGGATGCCGAACATATTTTTCAAAAAAAAACTGCGAAATAGACATCCCCCACTTTCTAAAGAAATAATCAGTAAGAGGGTGCAAAATAAAAACCAACTCCCACCGTAAATTATGGTCGATTGTAAACTCGACCCCAAGGGCGTCAGTAGGGGGGACAAGTAGGAGCAGTTACCAACAATTCTCTTTTTTAGTTTTGGAATTTTGAAATTTAAATGGTGCATTTTGTGGTTCAGTTGGTATTTGATTTTTGGTTATGACGGAGGATATATTTAGGTAAATTGAATTAAAATGCTTTATTTATTATTTTCAGATCAAATTATCGCGCCGAATCACATGCAACATTTTTATTACCCCTACAATTTCCGAGCCGAGTTACATCTGCCCTCAAATCTCAATTATTCGATCTCTGCAAATAGGTTAAAATAGGCAAAACGAAATTTCTGATCCGTTCGAGTTTATTATTGTAAATTATACTCAACAGATGTAGGTATGTTATGTACCTACCTAATACTGAAAAAAAACATATAATTTAAAAAAAAGTAAACGGTTAATTAAAAAAATTGAAGAAAGTGTAGTTACATATAGGTAAATAATGTTGTGAGAGGCTGGCTACAGTAACATTGCGTTGAGGTTCTATAATTCTATTAGTAGACACTTAATTGTAATTCAATAATTACATTCTATAGACATTATTTCGAAACTACATCAGTATGACCGTATTAATTATCAAATAATTTGTACAACACCTATTTAACATTTACAAAAAACTTACTTGTACCACATTTGTAAACTGTAGTGGTTTTAATTATTTGAGGAAATAATATTAATAAAGAACTCAAACATAACACTCTACCGAACATTTTGAGAAATATAACTAAAGAAATAATATAAATACGACTAATAAAAACAACAGTACAGGTACGTCTGTCGTCTGCACATAACCAGACGACCTTCTGTCTTGTGCTTGTATGTTTTACTATTTTTCTGTATACACACCTCTTACAACATTTTTAAATTACAAACCCGGTTTGTTTTAATTAAAAATATAACAAGGTAAATAATTATAGTACGCATTTGTAAATAAATCCGTTTTATACAGACAATATTAGTTATTACAATAATATATTATATCTGTTAAAGTCGGTACAAGTAGTTCAATTGCAAATTGTATAATAAAGCTCAAGGTTACAGCTTTATTCAAAAAACGTGATTCCCTGCATATATTAAAAAAAAAAATTATATTTTATTAAGTAGAATATAAATTGATTAAAGTTTATTTTATTTTATTGTTATTTATTCTTTTTTTAGGTCAAGATATTGACAATAATAGAATTTAGATTTGTCACTTAAATGACTTAATTTATCTCTGGGGGATAACCCGGTATCTGCCTAATTTATATATATAATATATACAATATGATGCAACACTTCGACCTGAATAATAAATTGAAGTAAAAATGTCTTACACCAAACAACAATATTTTATTACCAAAAAGCTATAGGTATATACGTCATTATACAATATAAATATTATAATCCAACCGTATTACCTACTGTACTAACGAATCCTTGACATATTGTTAGATACTGGTTTTTTTTTATCTAAACTGTTCGTGTAGACAACTATAATCTAGGGTTGTTCAACCTTTTGTAGTTGGCGGGACAATTAACACTTTCATAAATAGGTTCACTAGGAACCATTAAGATATATCTTAATTCGTGGGAGCCACCAATGGAAAAAAAATCTCCCACCACGAGAATCCGGATTGTCTGTGGCTGCTATACAAACACGATACCTACGTAACGAACTGACTTTAATCATATGGTTTTTGACATGATGACATCACTCATGCACGGTATGACGTTTACCTAAGTTTTAAAGTAATTTTTTTTTAATACAAATCTTTTAGGGGCTGGCGGCCAAAATAAAAACTTCGAGGGCCGCAAGGAATTCTAGGAGGGGATTAATATCTACATATAGTTTAAACTTTACAGAGAGTTCCATATATTATAATATATTGTATAATATCTAATGTATAAATGTATAATCAATGGTATCGTGTATAAACCGTGAATGTGTAAGCATACTCATTAAATGTATATACCTACCTAAACCCATGTAGGCACAACTAGGCTCTAGACTCTAGGGATAATACAGCTTAGCTTCTAAGTGATTTTCTGTAAATTTTTTTTTCAAAATGTGTGTTTTTACATGCTTAATTTTTAAATATAAGATAAAATAAGAATTATATAACATGAATAAATTTTTGGTAAAGTCAGAACCAACTTTTATTTTTTGGTTCGGAAGAAATAGGTTAAAACAATAAGCAATAAAAGAGAATATTCCAAGAATTCACATCGAAAAAAAGTAAATTTTAAAACTTTTTAATATTATGTTATTTATACCAATAATTTGACATTATAATCGTTCTATTAATTTCACAATGATTCCCAGCCGTCACCGACGGGGATTTTTTATTTTTTTTTAATTACTGTTGGCCACCTAAAAAAATACTATTTATTAAATAAATTGTATTTTTCCAAAGGTAAAATGTGATGTTTACGTATCCATAAGGAAAGACACATTTTTCCACAAGTCGCAATTATCTTTATATACGTTTGGGAGGTTTAAGTATTTGTAGACAAAAAGTATAGTAACTTTGTAATTCAGCTTAACGTATTTTCTAACATTACATAAAAGTAAGTACAATTGATTCCACAAAAATTTACAGCATATAAATACAAACATTACCTCCAAAAAAAATTTCAAATTTTGGTATCTTAAACTCAAAAACACGACTTTTGCAAAAATTGAACATTTTGAAGTTTTTGACCATAACTTCCAAATGAAAATTGAGAGACATTTTTAAAAGCACCATCAAATTAAGCATGGGAACACACACATTTTGAAAAAAAAATTCCAAAAAATCACTTGGGACCTAAACTGCATTCGTTCCGACAAAACAAAATTTCAAAATAATCTTCACTGGGCTATTTCAGTGAGTATACTATACATAATATACTATACTCTGTTCAAAATTAAATCTTTGCTCATGGCTTCACCACACAATACAACCATAGATATTAAAGATACCGCCAGACACCGTCGCAGAACGAAGACTGGTCTCTACCCGATACCGATCTCATTTTGAACAGAATACAATGATTTTATTAAACGGTCATCACCTTTATGTTAAAAATGAATCAATCTTTACTTTATTTGTACCTACTATCTAACAGTAGAGAAGTGTAACTAATTAATACTATGGGCCATGGGAGTCAAAAGTACAAAAAAGTAGGCAAGTGGGTGTTGCTCTGCTGTAAAGTAGGTCACTGTAATGGATGGTGTTAAATTTAACTTCAATGATATAATATTATTGTATAAGAAAAAGGATTCTGAGCGAAGATGGTCAGACAGTGTATAACTAACTATATTTGATGATATTATTGTGAATTAAGTAGTTTATATAACGTATTTACGTGGAACCTTATTCTAAATTTTCAGTCCTTAGCTAAAAAAGTTGAACATTTTATACATTTTTAACTACAAAATAATTATTAAATTTTGAAATTGATGTATCGAACATTAAATGCTCACAACAAAAAATTGTGCCTCTATTTTTAATATTTTTCACCTACTTTTGTAACAATATGTCAATATATCAGTAGTCTTGTTTTAACACTTTTTTACCCAACAAAAATTATTTTTTGAAATTTGCTACAAAAAACTAAAAATATTGACAATGTCCGTAAACAGCTCAAGACAAGTCAAAATATTTTAAAAATTTTATCAAGTATAGGAATTGATAAAATAAACATATGATGTAAATTTCAAGTGTCTACAGTAGTTTGTTTTTGAATAACAACAAAATAAGAAAATAGCTACATGATAAATCGAGTGAATATCCAATGCTGTAAAATGTTGAACTTCAAACACTCATAAAAATTTAATTTGACTGTCCGATAGACTATTATTTTGATAAAACGTTTAACAAAACAAGATACTTGTGTTAATTTTGCAATTTTAGTATTTACCTACTAATTTACCAAGCTATAGCTTGACAACATAACTAATTAGTATAATTTAGTACTAATTAGTGATTATTATTTATTTTATGATATTGCATTTGATGATGATTAACACTGTTATATGAAATATTTTTAAATCAATGGTAAGAACCATAACAGTGCCATAACTTATGGGTAATTTAATTTAAATTAATTTTTATCCATAGCCTCAAATGACAAAATATATGCTATATGGTATATATATGCTCTATGCTACAAAGCTATATGGGTATTTATTATTTAATGTAGCTTGCCCCGAACAGTTTTTTAAAGTTGATATATGTTTTGTGTAAATTAAAGTTAAAACTTATTATTATTATCAAATCTATAGCAGGAAATGGGGATGGATAACCTATGATATGTGTAAACATTGTAAACCAATAAGTCATATTAAACCCCACAACTCTATATTATTATAAAGTACATATTTTTGAAATAATGAGTTAGATGTCTAAAAATCATCAACATATGTTAATTTGAACCTCAAATTCTGGGCCAGCATACATATTAATATGAAATACAATTTATAATTATTTATTATGCTGCCAAATATAGATGTACAAGTGCAGACTATATTGACATATTATCAATAAAGGTTAAATAAAAATAAAAATCATATACATTAGATTAGAATGCTATATGGGCGTAGCATTTTATGAATGAGATGATTGTGGCCATGAGAAGTAGTGTGTGTAGGTACGGTATAATAATAATTATTACCAAAAGTATAAATTTGTTTATATTTATATATTTTTTTTAATTAGACATTTTAACATCTAAATTATGAAATGACTTCTATTGTACTTAGTATAAAATCATTAAAAATAATGCTTAAATAATTTTTATTTTACATAGTATAAAAATAATACTTTAATTATTTTTATATTACATAATATAAAAAATGCTTTAATTATTTTAATTTTACTTATATTAATATAAACAGTAAAGAAAATGTATAATTTTATCTTAACTAGAACTTATTACATAGGGTAATTAAGAGATACATCTTGTCTGGCCAATTCTAATAACATAGGATCGTCGAAGAACTTATTTATGGAAACATCCTCACTTAGGCCTTTTCTTCTTCTCGTTTTCACCATAAATTCTCGAGCAAGATGTGTAGCTGGTTGTGGTTCCAAAGGTTTTATAACTATACTTTTATCAAGTGGATCACCGGGAACAATCTAAAATAAATTTAAATGATGAATTATGACTAATAAGTTATTGTATGATTTGTTTTAAATAATTATCATAAAATATAAGTAGCAGATTATGAAATATTTTGCATAGTTAAGGTTACAGTTACATTTGTTTTCTCTGTCTTACAAGTGCGTAACATAGCAAATTTTACACTCAGCAAAACACATTTATCTCTCATTAGTTTAAAAACTAGAGCGAATTTTACTCTTAAAAAATTTAAAGGCAAGATTATTATCTAGACAATGACATAGGCTTTTTATTATAATTTAATTTTAAAGCGAGTTATGTATATTTTAAAATTGTAAGCTGTTTGTACATCTTAAAATACTCATAACTCGCTTTGAAATTAAAATATAATAAAAAGCCTATGTCATTGTCTAGATAATAATCTTACCTTTACATTTTATGAGAGGTCAATTCTCTCTAATTTTTAAAATCTAACAGGAGATAAATGTGTTTTGCTGAGCGTAAAATTTGCTGTTACGCACTTGTAAGACTGAGACAACAAATGTCACTGTAACGTCCCCTTAAGCAAATATTAAATAATATAATTCCAGACATAATAAAGAAATTGTTGGGAAATTATCCCACT